GGCGCCGAGCCCCTTGCCTTGTATCTTACAAACTCCCTTATGCAGACTCAGAAATAACATAAATGGACATGGAGCAAAAACGAACTGAACTGATAATTAACATTAACTGCCATGTGAGTTGTAGTTCACTTAAGCTAGACTTGAGGCTGGTGCCTCAAGAAGCACATTTTGATCACGTTTCTTTTCTTGGACAGAGTTTCACTCTTGCCCAGGCTAGAGTGCAGTGATGTCAGCCTAGCTCACAGCAAACTCAAACTCCTGGGCTCAAGCGATCCTCCTGCCTCAGCAGCTGAAAAATGTGCCCAGTGCAACACCCAGCTAATTTTTCAATTTGTAGTAGAGACAGGGTCTGACTCTTGCTTGGGCTGGTTTTGAACTCCTGAGCTCAAGCAATCGTCCCATCTCCACCTCCCAGAGTGCTAGGATTAGAGGTGTTTTGACCTATCTTGACCCAATAGGAAAAAAATTATTTTTCTAGTGTGGCAGTCAATGTGTTAAATCCATTTCTTGGAAAAAGCGGCCAGTTAATAACATTGTCAAGCAAAAGGCAGAAGCTTTGCTGTCCAAGTTAAAAAATAGAGAAAAGCTCATCAATCTGTCCAAATATTTTAAAGAATTCTGTGTCTTCAACTTAAAAGTTGGTTGTTAGGTTTTTCCTAAGTTATGTTCAAGATATTCATGCCACTATATTTACAGACCATCTAGTGAAAGCTTATAGTAAGAACAATGAGACTAACTATGCATCTTCTGATGAAGATTTATTATCCCCAAGAGTAAACATTGACTTCAGTATTTGCTTGGGTCAATAATTTACCACTTAGGTCAATCAATCTTGAAGTTCTCTTCAACAGAAGGCAATATCTACTTAGTACTGTATTTCATTTGCATTAGATAAAGCTTTGAGTGTGCCAGTCTCCCAGAAGATAGTCTTTAAGACATAAAAATTTAAAACAAACTGTATCTATTCAACCACTTTACTAGCTCATTAAGTTACATTAAAAGCAGCTCCCTGATTGCCTGGAAATCACAAACTGGCTTAAATGCATTCCATGGATTAAGCTTCAATCTACCATTCCAGCCCTTAGAACTAATAATAATAGTAGTCTAGAAAAAGAAAAAAACAATGTAAAGCAAACAAGTACTTTTTCAACCTTTATAATATCTAGTAATGACAATCATATGAGGCAAAAATGTTTTGTTTGTGACAGTGTCTCACTTTTGTCACCCTTGGTAGAGTGCTGTAACATCTTAGCTTACAGCAACCTCCAACTCGTAGGCTCAAAAAATACTCTTGCCTCAGCCTCCCGAGCAGCTGAGACTACAGGCACTCACCACAACGCCACCACCACAACCCACCACCACTCTGGCTCCAGCTGGTCTTGAACCTGTGAGCTTAGGCAATCCACCCACCATGGCCTCCCAAGTGCTAGGATCATAGGTGTGAGCCACTACACCCAGTTCAGCAATGTTTTAAAATAACTATTTTAATGTTTACCATATGCCTGGCACTGTTCTTAATTCCTTACATGTATTAAATTATTTAATCCTCATAAGCACCCTATGAAGCCAGTACCTTAACTGTCTCCATTATAAATTCACTCATGTATTAATTCAACAACAAATATCAACTGAATACTTATTATGTTAGGTGCTAAACATATAATCAGTAACAAAACTATCTCCCTATACTCAAAAAAGTTTATACACAGTGGTGGAGACTATTTTTAAAAAAAAAAGGCTTCCTGATGGGAGCATTAGAAAAACTGTGCAAAATACAAAAAATCTGTTCCTGGACAAGGAAGAATTATGGGATCAAGATCTGGGAGGTGAAGGAAAACCTGCATTGGAGCCCTTATTTCCCCTAAGAATACCTTGCAAATCCAGAAGAGGTCATCAATAACTCTGCTCCAATAGTAATTGGAGTAATTCCAATAGGCTCCCACGTCTCAGAGATCTAAAACTCAAGTTCAAGTATCACGAAGAAGAGAAAGCCTAGAAAATCCCCTACACTCTGTGTTGAGCTTCTAAAATGCTATATTCTAGTAATGAAATAGAAATGCTCTTAAGCCCATAACAGAAGACTTTTTTTCTTTTTTAGAGATAGGGTCTCATTCTGTCTTCCATACTGGAGGGCAGTGGCGCACTCATAGCTCACCGTACTCTCCAATCCCCGGCTCAAGCAATCCTCCTAACTCAGCCATCCACAGGCTCCCATCACCATACCAACCTAATTTCTTTTTTTATTTTTTGCAGAGACAAAGCCTCACTATGTTGCTCAGAATGATCTCAAACTCCTGGGCTGAAGGAGATCTACCCACCTTGACCTCCCAAAGTGCTGGGATTACAGATGTGAGCCATAATGCCTAACCCAAAAGTTGATTTGTTTTTTCTTTTTTTAAGACAGAGTCTTACTCTGTCACCCTCGGTACACTGCTGTGGCATCATCACAGCTCACAGCAACCTCAAACTCTTCGGGTAAAGCGATTCTCTTGCCTTAGCCTCCCAACTAGCTGGGGCTACAGGTGCCCACCACAACGCCCAGCTATTTTTTTGTTGCAGTTGTCATTGCTGTTTAGCTGGAGGTTGAGTTTGAACCCACCAGCCCAGGTGTATGTGGCCAGGGCCGTAACCACTGTGCTATGGGCACCAAGCCTTTTTTCTTTTTCTTTTCTTTTTGAGATAAGAGTCTCATAGTGTCACCCTGGGTAGGGTGTCATGGTGCCATAGCTCACAGCAACCTCTTGCCTCAGCCTCCTGAGTAGGTGGAACTACGGTGCCCATTACAAAGCCTGACTATTTTTTAGAGACAGAGTTTCACTCTTGCCCAGCCTGGTCTGGAACTCCTAAGCTAAAGCCATCCATCCGCCTCAGCCTCCCCGAGTACTAGGATTACAGGCATGAGCCATGGCACCCAGCCTCTCAAAGTCGATTTAAAAAAAAAAAAAAA